TCATCCGGGGGCCCCCGGTTCGATTCCGGGCGAAGGGACTTAAACTCTTCGGAGAGACGAACTCTCTCCATTGTGGACCTCATATTTTTTTTTGTTTTTGCCGGGGTAAAAAGAAGTCGACTTTTTTTTTAGTGGGGGAGAACGAGGGAACAGAGGCAGGACTACTGGGCAGTAAGATACCCGTGAGGCGCAACTGAGGGGTGAGAGAACGGAAGGCCAGCAAGTCTGTTGTAATCGACAACGCTGTCCCTAAATACCAAATATGACTATGCTTGTCTCTAGCTTATAGGTTGAAGCTATATACCACTATAGAATCTCAGTCGGCAGTTTCAGCAGCTCCTAAATGACGGACGAATCACAAAGGAGCCGTCAAGAAAGGTACAGTAGGTTGGGACTGTCTTGGTCCGGAGATTGATTACTATCCTATTTCAGGAAGCAATTGATGAAGGATCCCGAAACTGGGATAAGACTATCATGAAGGTATTATCCTTATTATTGATAAAGCAAGAAGGCAACTGACAGTAAGAAAGCAACCGACAGCAAGAGAGCAGCCGGTAGCAAGAGAGCAACTGACAGCAAGAAAGTAATCGACAACAGGTAAGCAACCGACAGCAAGTAAGCAATCGACAGCAAGAGCAGCCACCAACGCCACTGCTTCCGTCTGTAACTGGCGATGGCACCGGCCAACGGCTTAAAGTTTCGTTGAGTGATTCCACTACATCTCTAACTGAACCACGATTGAACCCTCGTCTCTAAATGTAAAGAAATGGGAAGGATAATCCTTATCCCACTCGTCAAACTTCAGTGCTCGGCTGCGCTGATAATTGCAGTCCATGGCCCCCTAGAATATTGTGAGCCCCCTTCTTTCTATCTTAAATCCTCGTGGGAAGTTTATGTGAGGTGGAGGGAGTATGAAGGATATATAATGGGATTTGAGGATTTTGACGGCCGGGGTGTCAGCTGCTTCTCACTTTTTATTTAGGCTTAATGATGAAATCAAATAAGTTTGTATATTATCGTTTTGGTATATAGCTTCTACAATTATCTCAGCAAGTTCCCTCCTATTTCACGATTCCCCCGTCCACTCTTGTCCCCCCTCCTTTAACTCACCCCCCTAATATCACAATCGCTTCCACCCCCTTAACAGACACTGTGATAGGGGTAGGAAAACACAGACGCTGTGCATCGCATATGAGCGCATGGTGATTGTAATAGTTATTATCGCTCTTGAATTCGTTTATTCACTGTTTTTAAGGGGATTTTGCTTTTAGGGTCACTCGTGAAGCACAGTTACTGTGCTACCTAAATGCTTCGTGAGTGACTGTAAACTATAGCTAGGTTTATAGTGATTATTCTAGCTAAATGCTCTGTGAGTAACTATATATAATAGCAGCGTTTATAGTAATCATGCTACCTAAATGCCTTGTAAGTGACTATAGACAATAGCAGCGTTTATAGTAATTATGCTAGCTAAATGGCCTATAAGTAACTGTAGACAATAGTAGCGTTTATAGTGATTATAATGGATAAATTCCTTATGAGAAACTATAGACATTAGCTTACGTTTATAGTGATTATGCTAGCTGAATGCCCTATGAGTAACTCTCTGTAAACCTATCGGTTACAGTCATCCTAACAAGCGAGTCCTCCCCTAAAAACCCTCGAAAGCAGAGACTCTCACAGCCTCTAAAGTAATTCAAAATATAAAAACCAAACCCTCCTATCACAGGCAACAACTCAGTAACTATAAAAAAAAGTACCATCGCTTACACCCTAAGCGAACCCTCCTCCCCTCTCCAACTCCGACGGCGCCAAAAAAAAATTATGCGCTGTGTGCAGGATTTGAACCTACGAGGCCGAAACCATAAGATAACCAAATTATAGAAATTCAAGTCTTACCCATTAACCACTCTGGCAACACAGCCGGTTGAAGTAAGGGGATCGCGATTAGTTGGGTATTTGTAAACCGTTGACGTCTCAACCAATCACTTTCTCCCATCCCCATCATCGTTGTCAGTTTCGTGGGAACTTTTTTTTGAGAAACATTTTGTGCGGGATAGCGGGGATGACGATGACGTCGTAAGTACCGGTACACTCAACAGCCCGTTTCCATGTCGCTCCTGCCGCCCGGCCGGCGGACTGGAGTTTTTCTAACTAACTCCTTTACGACTAAACTACGGAGTAGAGGGACCTAACGTACACTCACTTACTCTTTCGGGCTGACAAGTGAGATTTTGATTCCCTCTGATTTGATACCCGTAACCTGCGATCGCCACAATCAAGCTTTTTCCCAATATTCCCTCCGCCCACCGTTTCAGATGGCGACCCGAGCAAACCTTCATGTGAAGGATAGCGGCAGTCAGAACGGGAGTGTAGGAGGGAGGAGACACGAAACACATCTCAACCGAAGTCTGACTTTGACTTGCGCGTCGTCGCCACTTTTCCCAAACACCACCTTTCTGACGGCCCCTCGGATCTGCCATCCAAACGTACCTCACTTCCCGGTTCCACGACCATCATCCACAGTTCACTCACCCAAACCTGACACAGCGCCGTATAGCCAGAAAAAACCCACTCTGCCAACCAGGCCACGGCCGGGGGGCTACTGTAAGAATGCTCAACCACGGCGCAGTGGGGATATCGCCACGCTCTCTCAACTGCCGGGTCCTCGGCATATCGATATTTGATGACAGGACAGGACAGGTTGGTTGGAATAGTAATGTCATATCATATCAAAAGCATGGTTGGTTGGGTATACCGGTCATCCCTCCCGTAGATCCCCATCAGCTCACTCCCCCCCTCCAGCCGGGTCTCCGTGGTGCGGATCCGTACCCATCACCAACGACCGCCCGCCCGGCGGGTCCTCACCAACCAGCACAGAACAGAGATACTTACTTTTCTTTGGCAGAGAGAGGCAATAATGGACAACACTAGCGGGTGGCAAAAAAGCACGGCAAGTGTGTACAGCAAACTGACAGACCCGACAAACCACCCCATCCATGCCCAAGACCCCACTGTGTCAACAAGGCACGCCCCACTGCGAACGTCACAGAGATTTTCGTCCCTCTGTTTCTCCCTGCCTCCTCTCTCTCTCTGTTTTTTGCGCCCCCACCCCTTCCTTTTCCTGTCTTTCCCACTCTCTGCTCGGCGCTGGGTAGTGGGGGCCCGCGTCCGCCGCCGAGCGCCGTGACGAGTAGTGAGTGAGAAACTATCACTCCCAGAACCAAGACCAAGACCCAAATCTCCGCCCGGCGGGGTGGTCTGCTGCCGAGACACGACAGAGCTGACAAGATCAGACAGGCAGGTGGATATCTAGCAGTGGAGAGGGTTTCGCGCATTGTTGGTCTGTCTCCACTCGTAGAACACACACACCCTTTCCGAGACTTCCTTCTTATGCTGTGGGGTGGGTACGGGAGAAGGAAGTGGAGTTGGGAGGGCGGGGCACGTGATTTACGTCATAGTTTCTCTTGTCTTTCACAGGAAGAGAGGTTTTTGAGCGGGAAGACAGGAAGGGAACCGTATATGGCAGGTAGAGAAGGCAGGTTGGTAGACAGGTAGGTAGGTGACACAAGAACTGGTAGATGATGCACCCTCCCCAGTAGAAGATGCTTTGCTAGATAGATGGTAGGACCGACTGATCTGGCGCTGTGACACCACATACATCGATGCCGTGCGTGAGTGCGTGAGTGCGTGCGTGCATCTCTCACGGCGCCGCGGACGCGCGGGGGTGGG